ATTTTGACCCTTCAGTAAGTATAGTTTTTTTCTTTAGACAGTAAAAAGGTCTGCTTGCATGAGAAAATAGCACTGCCTGATGGCAGCTAGTTTTAGTGTAAAAGTGAGATAACAGAAGAAAAAAATGCCTGCAGAGGCCTCTATGCATCTGAGGCTTCCGGAACTACAAATGCTTTCAGACCCTGATCTTTTATCACTGAAACCTTGTGTGATCGTTCAGTCTCCAAGCAGCCTGTTCTTGCTAGTTTGAGTCTGAAAAATGAAACAAGTGGTTACAAGGCTGTGTTTGACAAAACTTGTACAGAAGCTTGGCAGGTTTGCACAGATTTCAGCAATTCCTAATTAGAAAAATGGAAGAAACTTATTTCCCATGACACGGCAAGCCACAGCCATTGAAGTCAATACAATTTAATTTCCCTGAGCCTGTGACATCTTCTGGACTTTCAGAAGAATCACCCTGAATCACTACTGCCTCTTTTTTTCTTTTCTCTTGGCACTGTGTTTGGGATCAGCAATATATTGTAATTACCACATAGAAATAATATACTTACTACTATGTAATGTAATGATAAATAGGTAATACTAACAAAGTAATACAATGCACACAAAGCTATCTTCATTTTAAGTGCTGCTGTCCTCATGCTGCTTCTTAATGCAAACAAGGTTGTATTCATTTCTGGCAGCTCTTACAAAGCTTTCTGCTGCCATGTTCTGTCATCAGCTGTCCTCAGCCAGAAAATATTAACTACTGTGCAGTTAACCCCAGCGAAAGTTGTTATCTACTGTATTAAATACAGGCATGGAATCATCATAGCTCAAATTTTTCTGCAAACTAAACTGAAATAGAATTACAAACTAAATTTGAAGATGCCACAGCTTCTAGTTTCCAAGATCTAAGTCTTTGTCAAATCCAGAAGCACTTCTCCTGACCACCAAAACTACCAGCACATCTTAAGAATGTCAGCAAAGATGTCCTACTAGTTTCCTCTGTTTTTTCATCCTTGATGACTAGCAAAATCTACTTTAATGCACCAATTTTCATTAACAATCAGCAGAATTTACAAAAGCAGCACAGCGATCATCTATAAAGCTCACACAAATGTATCTCTGTGTCCATAAAGGAAGCAGCTGTTTGTTGAATTTAGGATAATGAAATCTTCCTTGACATACAGGCTGTGAACAACACTGTCTTGGCATGCTCAATTTGTATCAACAGTTCTTGTTAAGTTTCATAGCTTCAAGGCTTATCAGACCATTTCTCTGCATTTCTCTGAATAGCGTTTGAGCCACATATGTTGGAAAGAAAACAGACGGCAAATACACTGGAGAGTACGACAAATCCCCAGCTTCCAGTGTAGACTTTGTCTGTGCCCACTAAACCTGTGTTCAAACAGTGAACAAAGTAAATAGCAAGTGGAGTTTGTCCAAAAATAGCTCTTAATGTTTCCAGTGTAAGAGATGTTAATGATAGATACATCATCCCCTCCTTGGCTTACACAGTTGTAGAAGGAGATTCAAGTCCATAACTGTTTTCTCTCTTAAGAAGTAAAACTTTTTTGTAAGCTGAGTGACCTTCACTACAAAGCAGCAGGGACTGCTTGGCTAATGTTGTTGCATATAGGGGGCCATGATTTGAAGGTTATAGGTAAGTTCAAAGCTCATAACAATTTATACCTGAGAAGACTTAAATGTGCAGCAGCTGAATTTGTAATTAATAGATTCCTTCTGTATTTACTCTTATCCCACATACTTTAGGGAGAGGAATTTACAGTCAAACTTAACATGGGGGCTCATCAAAATCTGATTTCATTATCATTCTTATTCCAGACAAGTTTGACCTGAGCCATGGATGGATGATGTCCAATCTTACCAGAAAGAGATTTCATGTCTGCTTATTGGTTTGCTTTCTGAAGCTGATCTTGTTTGTTAACTAGTTCACTATGTAGTAGCTATGCTCATTGAAAGCCTTCTCAACCATGTTATTCATCGGTCTTTAAGTTGGGGCTTTTAGGAGGATTTTTATTTTATCATTATAAAGAATTATGGAATAGAACATGTCTGTGACAGGTGTCAGGTCTACTTTATGAGCAGAGGAAACAGCACAGCATTTTACTGATTACTTGGAGATAGAAATAGAGTATAGATCTGATAAAGATCTTTAATTTTTTCCTGGCAAACACTAAAAGACTATTCCTGAACAGAACAAGATTATTTAGTCCTAATCATAGCATCCAATTTAACTGCCAAAAGATGATTTGAGGGCAAGAGAATTTTCTAAAAATAACGAATTATTTTAGAAAATCATCTGAGGATAAACTCAAGGATGGAAGAAAACTGGACTTTTTGAAGTTACATATACATAAGTAATTATAAATACTTCTGATGTAACCTGGAAATTTACTTCTGCTTTGAACATGTAAAGTTTTGGATTACTGCACTGCTTGTAAGCAGACATAACTGTCTCTAGAGCAATGATATTCTAACCACAGAGTCCAGTTTTGAGCTTTATGTTTAGCTCCTCCTGATTTGTTTTGAATTCATTTGGCAGATGCATAACACTCAGTTCCTGCAAGCCAGTTTACCCCGTTTTTTGTCAGGGATCACAGAATCACAGAATGTCATGGGTTGGAAGGGACCTCAAAAGATCATCCAGTCCAGCCCCCCTGCCAGAGCAGGATCACCTACAGTAGGTCACACAGGAACGCATCCAGATGGATTTTGAATGTCTCCAGAGAAGGAGATTCCACACCCTCCCTGCGCAGCCTGTGCCAGTGCTCTCTCACCCTCACAGTAAAATAGTTTTCTTCATGTTTACATTTTTTGCCCCTTGCCTGCACTTTGTAAAATATTTTTAGTGCATCACAATTCTTCTGTAAGTATTGCAGATAATAAAATAGAACCAGACAATGAGTCCTATTCATTCGTGCTGTATCTCTGATAGGAGACTAGAGGTTAAGAATTTTCCATGGTAACTAGGATGACTTAAAGTTTTCTAACAACAATGTGATGGATTCCAATTCTAGTTTAGGAATAAATCTATTACTTTTAGCAAAGTTACTCCAAAGATACCCTTTCTTCAACTTCTTACACCAAGTGAGAAGACCAGTGTGCTACTGAGGGGCTGACTCCAGAAAGAAAAATAATCTAGCTTGGGTGTAAGGTAAAAATGCCCATCTAAGAAACGTCTGTCAAACACTTCCCAGTGTCTGCAGTTTTGGTGGAGAGGGGTCCAGAAAAAGAAGAGATTGGGGCTGAAGACTTAAAGTCATAGGTAAATATGTCTATTCTGGGGAAATTTGCATAGTTTATACAAATGTTCACTGTTGCTTTAACCACCTTTAAATGCTTGAAGTTAGTTGCATGACTAATTTCGTTTGGAGAATCTTAACATTTTCTCATACAGCTTATTTGCTGGATTGGACTGTTATGAGAATGTAGGGTAATTATTCATTGCAAAACCGAGGTTCTTCCTTTCATCCGATAGTCAGGTGTGCTTATGCGGGGTAGTAATTAATTTTTTTTAAACATACAGAACTTCTGCACTTTTAGATAAGAACAGCAACTTAAAGAAAAAAACCATTCAGCTACACTATAGTGTCAAGTGTAATCATGGATCAACTGATATGTCAGTCATGACATTTTCCACAACCTCTCTGGATGGAATTATCTTTGCATGAATTAGTGCAAAAAGAGAAAATAAGTAGGACTGAAAAAAATGGCGTTCTATTCCTTTTGGCATGGTAAACCTAATTAAATGGTTACATTTTAAAATCTTTATGAGAATCTTAATTATTAATGTCACCAACAGGCTCAAAAAATGTAGGTTAGGTGTGGGGAGAGTTTGGCTCTACAAAGATATTACTTAGAAGCAAATTTTTTTGCATGACTGAGCACATGTGCACACAGAATGGATAGTTACACTTTACAATGAGGTTACACTTATAAATTATTTATAAAGGGTTGGTAAACACTGTAGGCTATTACAGAATCCACAAAGTCCATAGTTTTGTTATAACTATGTATAACACCCTCAAGTAATGTGCAACCAAGGATAATTTATGACAGTCATATCAGTAGTATTGTTTATGATGTATATTAATCATTTATTAATCCTTTATGAACTATTTATAAATGCAATCTTAATGGAGAGCATGGCTGACTTGTTACTCAATTGCACTAGCTGCATGGGAGCTAAAGGTTGCAGGACTCTGCCCCTCCTTTTGAACAAGCTAAGCAGTCTTCAGACAAGGCAGCACTCCCTGGCTGTTTCCTTGCAGACTCCTAGGAAGTCAGAAATTAGAGACATGTCACAAAGAGGTTTTGTTTGTAAGCAAACGTGCAGAATCCTTCTTCTACATCTTCTCTGATATTTCAGTAGAGCTGCCCAGGTCTGCTTCAGAGGGTCCATGAGACAAAACTTCTTGCAGATGACCCACACAGAGTCTAGCAAGTCTTGGATGCTGAGGGCTCTTTTACAGTTTGGTACATCAGACCACCAAAATATGGGCCGTATTTCTAGGAACTGAGCAAAGGAGGTGGCTGTGTAAATATGCATATTCTTATGGTTTCCACAGGAAAATGGACAATGTAACAGAAACAACTGCTGTAATCTAGGCTACCATAATGCTTAGGAACAGATTCTGGCTTGCAGGATTGTTCTTCTGCCCCAAACCAATTCTACCTGCTGAGGTACAGCCACTAGTGCTTGCTGCAGGAAAGCTCGACTAACTTTCAAGTGAGAGGGCAGTCTTATCACTGCTCTTCTTTATGCATCCTCTGAAATCTTACTGAGGCATTTGACATCAAGTACCATCCCAGCGCATTAATTCTTCACTTGTTCTTTTGCAGGAAACAGATCTCATTCTGACCTTTAATATCTCAATGCATCGTTCTTGGTGGATGGAGAATGGGCCAGGCTGCACCGTGACCTCAGTAACCCCAGCACCAGACTGGGCACCAGAGGATCATCGCTATATCACTGTCTCGGGGTGTTTTCTTGAATATCAGTACATAGAAGTGGCTCACAGTTCTCTCCAGATCTTCCTTGCAGTAAGTGTTTAGATAGCTTTGCTTTCACCATCTTTTCTAGATTTCTTCTTGCAGAACATCACTACCAGAATAGCAGAATATTGTGGGATCCATTCACAAAGCCTGGCTCTAAGTGTTAGTTTTGGTATGAAAGTCTGTTGTCTTGCAGCTAGTTCAATACACCTGTACATGAAAAGCTCCAACATACATGTTTATTGCTGTGAGAACTGCTCACATGAAACATTTTTTTCTTAACCTCCATTTTGACTATTGACTACACCACGAATAATTTGCAGCTGGTTACATTCAAATTACACTATAGGATATAAGTAGTGACATTATGAGAAGTTACAGCTATTGCTGTGAAAGCCAAATTGGATATAAAAGAAAAGCCAAAATGAAGGAGACATTTTCTACAGTAAAAATATATTCACTGATCAGTGCACAGGACTCAAAACTGATCAATTTTTCTTTAACTGTATTAATCAATATGCGCTGGAGGAGACTGGGAAAGGTTCGTCCCAAAGGAACAAAATGTTGCGCTTGTATGAAAATCAAACCCAGAAATCTTAAACCTCTTCAGGAAAATAAGAATCCACTGTTAACACTGCAGCAAATGCATAAGGAACTAAAACTGGTTGTTTGGGGGAAAATTGATAGGTTTTTCAACCATATTTACCTGTACAAATAATTTTACCTTCTGTTGTCTCTCACCTAGATGGAAAGATGGCATAATCACTGAAGTAATTACACTGAATAACAATCTGCATTTTTATGTTTGCTCTAAGGGTAGGTGCATGTTTATGCCCAGGTAGAGATATATATGTCTGCAAATAAAACTGTTACTACAGATATGAATTTGGACCAGTGCCTGGGTACATAATTCCTTCTGTATACATCTTTTGTTCAAGACATTCTGAGGTTTTGTCCAAAAAGGGACCACACTGGCAAAGAGAGAGGAAATTTAGTTAGCCAGATCCAGAACTGCATTTTATTTACAAGCATTTGTTATCGGTCAAGCTTAACTCGTAGAATCATAGAATTGTTCAGGTTGGAAAAGACCCTTAAGATGATCAAATCCAAGCATTAACCTAGCAATGTCAGGTCCACCACTAAACCATGTCCCTGAGCAACTCATCTACACATCTTTTAAGTACCTCCAGGGTTAGCGACTAAACCACTTCCCTGGATAGTTTTTTTTCTAGCCCTTAACAACCCTTTCAATGAAGATATTTTCCCTGATATCCATTCTAAACCTCACCTGGTACAACTTGAGGCCATTTCTTCCTACCTGGGAGAAGATTTCGACCCCTACCTCACTACAATATCCTTTCAGGCAGTTGTAGAGAGCTTCCTTTTCTCCAGGCTGGGTTCCCTCAGCCACTCCTCATAAGGCTTGTTCTCAAGACCCTTCACCAGCTTGACTGCCTTTCTTTGTACACGCTCCAGCACCTCAGTGTCTGTCTTGTTGTGAGGGATCCAAAACTGACACAGGCTTTGAGCTGTATCCTCACCAGTGCCGAGTACAGGGGAATGACCACTGCCCTGTACCTTCTGGCTACACCATTTCTGATCGAGGCCAGGATGCTGTTGGCCTTCTTGGCCACTTGGGCACACTGCTGGCTCATGTTCAGGCACTGCCTGTCCACTAGCACCCTCCGGTCCTTTTCCACTGAGCAGCTCTCCAGGCACTCCTCCCCAAGCCTGTAGCATTACTTGAGGTTGTCGTGACCCGAGTGCAGGACCTGGTACTTGGCCTTGTTGAACTTCATGCAATTGGCCTTGGCCCATTGGTCCAGACTGTCCAGGTCCTTCTGTAGAGCCTTCCTACCCTCAAGCCTTCCAAAGGAGATATCCAGTCTTATTTTTCTGCCCTATTATTTTCTATGTAATGAATTATGAATAAGAAATTCAAGGAAAATATATATTTCAAGCTCAATTCTGTTCCTGGCGCAACAAATTTTTTTGTGTTTTTGTGCCTTAAGAAAGCTGTATTTCTAGATAAAGTCATTCTTTACAAGGCAGGGGAGTGGTTCAGAACAACAAACCATTGGTAATCTGCTAGCTTTAGCCAACCACAGCTGTTTATATATTTCCATTCATGTTACTGTAAATGTGATTATTATGGGTAAAGACATATGTAGTATAAGTATGTGTCAATTTTCCAAACCTGCTGCTTGCAACTTTACTGTTTACATAATTTCCACATTTCCAATTATGGGCATGGAGTTCTCTTTGTAATAGAAACATTAGCATAAATTCACTATGATATTAAATGTGGTGAAGAACAGAGGAATCAGCTGGTATTGCTTAGTGACATATAACACAAGGTTAGCAGAGCAGATTTTGCTTGGTTTTCAGCAAACTAGCTTGCAACAAACTCAAGCATTAGATCAGATTTATCTCCAGTTAGTAGAAAGAAATTAATCTTTCCTTTCAATTTTCTTTTATGGGCACTTAAATGGATCTTGCACTTTAACTGTAAAACTATAAATTGCAACCTACAAATTGGTTACTTGCTTTCTATTTGTATTTCTGTATGTTCGTGACAATGATCAAGATAGTGTTGATCTTGGCTTTTTCACGGACTGGTGGCACTGCAGTATGTTTTTAAGATGTTTTCTACCGCCTACTGATAAAATGTTACAAAGACATTCAGCTTCACTGAGAATCACTTATATCAGTCTTCGAAAATGTTATGTTGAGTGTATTTTGTATAGCTTGCCAGTAAGCTACAAAAGGTTAGGCTTCGCATAGATGTAATATTTGTGGTGGATTACTTGTGGAAAGAATATGACAGCTCAGATAAAAGCTATAAACCCCCCATGGTTTATGCTTTCTAGAAAGCAAGTCTCAAGGTGGGTTGTGAAATATCTCAAACATTGTAGACAAATACTGTGCTGAGAAGATGCAGAATACTCAGTCTCCAAGAGACCTTCTCTCTTCAGAGGAATGTGTCCTACAAACAAACAGCACAAAACTGTGAACCAAAGAAATGCTCCTGCTAATTTTGTGCAAGTCAACATAAATTTTAGGGGTTTAAGAGTGAAATCTGGAGATTTTTTGTTTCTTCTACTGCTCAAACAAAGTAGTATGTAAAGCAACTGGAAGGTTAAATGATCCCAATGGTCAGGAGAGTCCTTAATGCTGATGCTCATTGCATAATAATGGCCTTGGAGACTAAAGAAAGACAGATGTGATGATACAATGATATATTGCCAGCTTCTCCTGAGGAGCGGATTTTCCTCAGGACAAACAAACAACTAGACAAAATTGCTAGTTTAGCTCACACTGAAGAAGTAACAGAGAATTAAGTTTAGCAGTCTCTCTACTTTGACCAGCTGAATTCTCACGGATTAGAAAATCTTCAGAATGGGGTAAAAATGTTTGAGAACTAATGTATGCAACAAAATGCTCTGGCTAAACAAGGTTTATGCCAATTTGAGTATTTAACATTTATGTATGCAAAGCAGGGTTGGAATAATCCACAGTGATAATAGGCAAAGCAGCCACAACTTCTCCTTTGTCCCATGACACAGAGCACTTAGAGCACTGGGTGCTGCTGGTGGAAGCCTCAGCATCTGTAAAGCCTATCAGTACATCAATCCTTGTATCATAGATATAAAAAATGACCATATAATGCACATTTATATCTGTCTTGTAGCCATTCCCATGTCACCCTTTCTGAAGCGGTAGGCCACAAAAATCTCAGTGCCATACACCATGCTTGCCAGCTTCTACTCAGTGCTCAATATCAGTACCTCCCATTTGATTCTTTTGAGACTGAACCACATTGTTATCACTTTATGTCTGCATCTTACCATCTTCCAGCAAGTTAAAAAGAGAGAGGAGTACAGAGCAGAGAAAGGAGAATGCGAGAGAGGGGAATCTATTTCATTCTTAAGTGCAGCTTTGCAACCTGCAGTGCTACAAAATAAACAAACATATTTTTAGGGCACCACCTGCAGCACACAGCTGTATGGAACAGAACAGAACTGCTAAGAGCGTGATTTGTTCTGCTTTGTGTGAAACTCTAGGGTGTGGGAAAACACGTAGGGAATGCATTTCTATAGACCTCTCTCCTTTCCTGCCCTCCTTGATTTTTTGTGAGTGTGAAAACTGAATCTGTAAAGGTGAGATCTTAGCTTCATTGCACTTTGACAGCAACAGCAATTTAATACTGTGCTGATACATGGAGAAAAAAAAGCATAGTTTCAGACACAGCTCATTCATTTGTCTTGTTGCTGAAAACTAGCCCTCAGTGCAGCCTGTTCTCACGTACCGGGCCAAATTCTCCACTTGATTCTTCTCTCCCAGGGAAGTCTAATTTACAGAGCTATGACACCTTGAGCACCTGGTCTATCTAATGTGCTCTGCAAGGACCACAACTCTGCCTGCCTTTGATGCCTATATATTGCCAAATTGAACTGGTCTGGTGATAGCATGACTTGGATACCCAAGGGATTTGCACATCAAAGTGTCCTTATGTGCTTAATGGTTATTGATTCTTGCTGCTTAAATCAGAGAAGCTATTTCATTTTCAGGACTCTTGGGTTATCAAGGATAGATATACTTAAATTACTGTGCTCTGGAGAGAATTGTTCCAGGTAAAGAATGAGGTCAGTGGTACTAATGGAGATTTGATTTGCTACTGGTTTGTGAAATCTGAGTTACATTCTATATAATATTTATACAGTGGAAGCTGAATGGAAGTTTCCACCCACCCCTAAAAGATAGGAGATATAGCTGCCCCTTCACTGTGGCGAGGGCAGTGCCAGGCAAGGACACAGTGCAGGATGTACATCCTTGCTAATCTTGGCATATAACTTCAGTGCTTGAGGTGATTGTTGGTGTATGAATAGTATGTGCATCCCTGCTTTGCAGTCACACAGCTAAAAACAGGTCACAAGATTGCAGTTTCACAAGTACCCACACCCATCAATGTCTAAGTCTAACTGTGGATCACAGAATCACAGAACGTTAGGAGTTGGAAGGGACCTCGAAAGGTCAGCTAGTCCAAC